GGATCCGAACCCAGGCTGCCAGTAGCAGAGCGCGCACTTAACCGCTAAGCCACGGGGCGGCCCTATCCCCTTCTAATTCCTGTCCACATGTATATACTGTGTATTTTTCTGTTAGTGGTATCACTGTACACACTATTTTGTATTATTTGTGTTTTATTTGCTTAACATTATATCGATTTTTAATGCCTGAATAGTATCACACCATGATTTTATTCTTAAAGCATTTCTCCTTAGACAAATCAAACAATAAAAAAGAAGGCACATCTTGCTTCCACTGTCTAACTCCTACCTAAGCTATTCAAGATCATCCTCATCCAGCCTCAGGTCAGATGCACGCAAACTCCTATTGATGTCATCTGTTGGCAAAGAAAAATGCAGTCTTATTGCTTTTAGAGAAGAGAATTACGAAAGAGCACCAGACTGGGCTTCAAAGCCTTGCGGTCAGACATGCTAAACAACAGTGTGACCTCCGGCTAGACACTTGCTCGCTCCGAGTACACTTCCTCCTCTGTAAAATAAGAATCAGGATGGTTCCTTACTGTCTCTTGCAGTTATCAAATCTATGACCTTGTGACTTCCTTGCGGGGAAGGGCCACAAGACAAGCGTTCACGTGACCGGGGAAAAGCGGCCACAGCAGCCACATCGGGGACTGCCCGGGGTGCTCCCGCTACTCCGACGGGGAACGCCTCGGCCTTTCCCAGGGCCCTCTGGATCCTTAGCTACAACTTCTGTTTCAGCACCTCGTCACCCGGCAGAGAATGACAAAGTTATCAAGCAGTCTGTCGCTTAACTGAGTTACAGACACAAGTCCACTAGAACTTTTTCTCTTAGCAGTTCAGGATGCGCGAGCCTGGAACTGATAGAACAGGTGCAATCACTCAAATTTGGGGGGTGTGCAAATCACAACCACCATTCTGCAGAAAGAAGATTCCCCTGAAAGGTTTTCTTGTTCCAGCTTGCACCGGAGCAGCCCGGGCTGGGGTTCACCAGCCGGCTCTGCCCCACTCCGCTGCGCAGGAAACCACAGAGCCGGGTCAAGACGCTGCCCGGGACCAGGTGTTCCTCCTCGCGCCCCGCCCGCCCTGCCACGCCCGCACCTGCGCCTCGCCGGCACCTGCACGCCCCTCTCCCCGCCCGCGGCTCGAGCTCACCCACCGGCGGCACGTCCTGCGCCACAGCGCAGGTGACGGCCACGGCCAGGAGGACGAAGGGTAGGCGACTCCGACCCAGCATCGTGGCAGCCACCACCGCCGCTGGGAGGGACGCCCGTGGAGACCGCGCGAGGCTCCACCAGGCTCCGAGCAGGCCGCGCCCCCGCCGCTGCGTGACCGGGACCCAGGAACGTACCACGCGAGGCGGGCGGGGGGGGGAGCGCGGAGGAAGACGGGGCCGGAAGAAGAAGCCGGAGGTTTTCGGTGTCGTGGAGAGGACAGCAGGAAGAAGGAGTCTTCCCAGACGGAGGGACCCGCATGCTGGGAGTCGGCGCTCGCGTTAGGACTGTGGTGCGGCTCGGGCCCCCCTCTCCGCGGCAGTGGTTGGGCCGAGCCAGAGCCCCGCCCCGGCGGGTGGGGCTGAGGAGCCCTTCCCCCGGGCCGTGGCCGCCCAGGGCCGGGGTCTCCTCCACGCCAGGGCGGTACCGAGCCGGCGGGTCCCGCTCCCCTCAGGGCCTGGTGCCACCTGTGCAGCGTCCCTAAACTGTCCAGGGCGAGGTCTGCACTCTGGTCACTCGGTGCCAAGTGCCCAAGAAACAGACCCAACTCACGAGAGTCTCAAAACGCGGCGTAACTCGCGACCCCGACCTATCTTTGCCCCCTGCGGAGAGCAGGGCCAAAGAGGGTGAGGCTCTTCCTCCTGACCGTGGGGACACTGGACAGGCCCAGGTGTCAGGGCCCGGGAGGGGGCCCAGTCTAATCCCCACGGATGCTCCTGGCTGTGAATTACCCACTTAGGCTTTCACAGCAGAGCTGATAAGTCCCAGAACTTAGGTTTCAGTCACTTGCACAGAGACCCCCGTGGAACGACCAGGTAGAACCGCGAACCTTCCTTCACTGATACATTCGGCCATTCAGCAGCTGTGTGTCACCTAGCTCGTGAAAGGCTTTAGGTTGGCAGAGCTGAGCTAAGCCTGAAGGGAGGGTGGATATTCAGTGTCTGTTTAGCCTGCACCTGAAAAATAGATTTACAAGATGTATTTGATTGGCATTCGTACCTTCAATGGACGCAATCGCCCTGAAAGGATGAGTTACTTAAAAGTCCAACAGGAAATCCTACTCTCTGGGTTCCACTTTCTGGTTGAGCCTCTTTGACATCCCAACTAGCATTTTTTAAATGCTGCAGTAAAACTGAGAATACTGTCGCTGAAATTTTCACATGTTTCTTTTTTCTTGTGCATGTGTGAAATTGCAATTTTACCCATTTGTACTCCTTAGGAAAATCAAACATTCTTTTTGTTGGAGATTGGGAAATGAGAATTTGATGTTTTGGGGTGTTTTCTAGAGTTTTGTTTTGGTAGGTGACCGTTTTCCTTTCTTTGAGGAGGAAGTTTGACTTTTGAAACATATCACATGATTAAAGTGAGTGCTGACTCATCAGTAAGCAAGCAGATCATAGAAATGTTCATTAATTCAAAAAATATTTACTGTCAACCTTCAATGTGCCAAGCATTTCTCCAGATAGTGGGGATAGGCAGGGAACAAGAATGACAAAAATTTCTGCCCTCATGAGGTTTACATTCTAGATGAGAAATGGACAATAAACATCATACATAAGAAAATTTATATAGGCTGTTAGAAGGTGATAAATGTTATAGAGAAAAAGCAGAGTGGGGGGATCAAGAGTAGGGAGAGTCACAGGGTTAAATAAGACAGCAGGATAGGCAGTATTGAGAAAGTGACTTAAAAGAGAGAATGTGCCTGGCATGTCTGGCTCCAGCAAAGAAGTCCTGTGGGTGGAGCAGAGGAAGAGGGGGGTAAAAGTAGATGAATTCTGAGAGGTGGGGGGAGGGCAGATCATATAGAGCATTAAAAGCCATTGTAGACACCGGGACTTCACTCTGGGCAAATGTGTAATCTGTAAATATGCTGAATTATCTTGGCCCTTAAAATAAGTCTGTCAGAGGTAGAGGATTCCCATCTTTTAGTATATAAATAGCTATTTGGTTTGAAGATCATTCACCTTAAATACTATGGAGGGCACTTTTTTTTTTTTTGGTGAGGAAGATCAGCCCTGTGCTAACATCTACCAATCCTCCTCTTTTTTTTTTTTTTTTTTTTGCTGAGGAAGACTGGCCCTGGGCTAACATCCTTGCCCATCTTCCTCCACTTTCTATGGGATGCTGCCACAGCATGGCTTGCCAAGCGCTGCATCGGTGTGTGCCCGGGATCCCAACCGGCAAACCCCGGGCCACCACAGTGGAGCGCGCGCACCTAACCGCTTGCACCACCGGGCCAGCCCCTGGAGGGCACTTGAAACATGTCACCAAACACATTTTTTCCCTCTGAGAGGATATTAATTGGTGGTTAGGTGGTCTGGTCAAATCAGATTCTTTAAGCAGAAAACTTGTGTCAGCTGGTATATTCTTAGGCACAATTTTCAGAAAATTTTGCATTTACCTTTCAAAGGTCTATTCTATACTATTGATTCTCTTTTCAGACAAATTAAAAATTTAAATCTACTTCCCTAGAATTATACCATTTTATGCATGTTTTTTCCTTACACATAGAAAATGGTATTTAAATGTACAAATGAATTGCTGGGAAGGGTGGTGCAAATAGTATCTTCACAGCAAGCATCAAGTTTAAGACCTGGATAACCTGTTTAGTGCAAGAGTCAGCATCAGTAATCAAATTGTTTGTCAGAATAGCTGAAGTTCCTGGCAAGCTATGGACCTTTTCTAATCACTTACCTAACATTCCTAGGTTCCTGAGATGGAGCGCTTGGTTTAAAATCATTGCAGCCTAACCACCCTACCCTAAATGTAATCTTCCATGCATAACACCACATTACAGGTATGAACAAGTATGACGATTTAATAAACCTGAATATTCAAAAATTTGTGTTAGAAGATCAAGAAACATGGAGATAATGTATCAGTTTGAAAAATAAACATTTTACTGGAATTATTTACCAATGAGTTGTTTAATTAAAAAAAAAAAGCTTAAGTATATTGAAAATGTAATCTGAGTTTCAAAATTTAGATTTTTGTCCATCTTTTCAGGAAGGAATGTAGAAAATAAAAGATGTAACAAATGGAAAATCATGTGAAATTTTTACATGATTCTTTTTCTCCAGTAGTTTTATCACACTAAAAAAGATTACTTGGTTTATATTTTACTTTTACATAGAAAAATATGTTAAATCATTACCTTTGGCTCAAGGTATTCCATTACACAACTACAAATTTAGTGCTGTCATTTAATCTAATTGTCCCCCCCATATAATGCCAAAATAAAATAGTTATCTTAATTATCCTTCACTTTGCCCTTATCTTTCTGTTTCTTGGTGAAACATTTTTGATGTCTTATTGAATTGCTGACACCTCAGACATGTTAGCATTTGAAGAGCTACTTAAAAAAAATCCTCTTGTCGTATTTTCACTTTCTTTCATACATATGATTCTGACCTGAAAATTATTTGTCAATTCAGCTCAAATCCAATGATCTCTAAATCTTTTTGTTGTTCTGACTTCATATTTCTGCATAGTTCCATTTTACGTCAACCATTGTAGTTACCTATTTAATGCTCCAACCAGGTGTTTCTCATAAATTCGTAGTAAATTCATGTATTCTCTCAGTCAATTTTGAGAGCATTTACTCTAGGTGCTGGGTAACTAGTGAACACGTGATCTCTGCCCACCTGGGGCTTTCAGTCTGTGATAGAGAAAAATAAAGATGGAGGGGAAAATGTAAATTGAATGAATATCTTGAAAACTTTGAATACATTCAGCTCGTTATTTTATACTCTAACAAGCTCTGGTTTAATATTGTAGATGATTAATCAACCTCAACTCCACTCCTCTGTTATACAGCAGCCACATGATCTGGATGAGCCGTATCCTAAGCCTTAGCCTTATCTCTGGAGGGGGGCCCTGGATGAGCTGACATTTAAGGTTACCCTGTCCCTCATGCCACAGTGCTTGGCTTCCGCCTTAGTCACTCAGACTCTTGAGTCCAACAGGCCATGGTTTGAAGCTCAAGGCTTTCTTGCTCTATGATTGAGGCAACTGTCCTTTCTCTTCTAATAGCAAAGAGTAAGCTAGTAGTTCCCACTGCTGCTGGCATTCATGCTGTAACCTTGAAGGGAATTGCCTAAGGATGAATAGATACTGTGGACAGCACAGAGGAGAGATGGAAGGAAACTGGGTCATTATGACCTTATTAAGCTGCTAGCTCAACCAACCACGGAGCCTGTCCGACGACTGGACTCTTCATTAACGTGAGCCACTACTCTTCTTTCTTATTGAAGCTAATTCAAGTTGGTTTGCTTGCAAGTTGAATTATTGTATCTGATAGTGTCCTAACTGATGGACACATAAAAATAGGTATTTCTCCCTTCTCAAGAGCAGAGGAGGTTTTATTGTAAAGCTGTAATGCTTAAGTTTCAGGACCCTCACTTGCTCAGGCCTCTTCCAAGCCTTCTACCTAATTTTACACTTGTAATTTTGTATTCTTTTCCTTAAGGAGGACCATCCAAATTGTATAAGCTTCAGGCCTCACAAAAGCTGGACCTACCATCAGAAGTTTTGGGGAGAAAACTTCCACCTTTCTCTCCAATCCCCTCAATTCATGTCTCCCTAGGGGAGGAGCGACTTACCTAATTGGTGAATAGCTGGAAGGGCCACTGCTCCTGTGTGGCCTGGCCTCTCTGGCTCTCTCATTCAGACCTGCCTGCCCACAGTGGTGAGCTCACTGCAGCAAGCCCTGGACAAGAGTGGAAGGGGAAGTAGTTGCTGCCTTTGACCACATCTTCCAGAATCCGCACCTCTCCACCAAATCTTTTTTTTTTAATAATTTTATTTATTTATTTATTTTCCCCCCAAAGCCCCAGTAGATAGTTGTATGTCATAGCTGCACCTCCCTCCAGCTGCCGGATGTGGGACGTGGCCTCAGCATGGCCGGAGAAGCGGTGCCTCGGGGCGCGCCCGGGAGCCGAATCCGGGCCACCAGCAGCGGAGCACGCACACCCAACCGCTAAGCCACGGGGCCGCCCTCCACCAAATCTTTCAAACACTGTGTGGACATGATGGCTCTGAAGACCTGAAGAAGGCCTCTGGAAAGGCTGGCTCTGGGAGATGTGGAGAGAAGGTAAGTACTTGCTTCTGCTGCCCCCCAGCCCAGCCTCACCCTGCCCTCACTTTACTCCCCATCATGTTGGAAACCTGCTGTGCACCTGGGAAGCAGTGTGCATTTGCCAAGTGACCGAAGGCATGAGTTCTTTCCAGAGGAGAAGGAGTCGGGGTCCCATCTTGGCCTCAGGT